TACATGTTGGTTTTTTTTATTTCAATAAGACGGAAGTGAAACTCAAGATTTGGAAACTGTCCACGGTGATGTCAAGTTTTGCAACATTTTATAGAAAAATCCGATGAGATACTATTACAACAGTGGCACCATATCCACAGGCACATTAATGCATTAATTGCATCTGGCAATTCATAGCACCCTAGTGGTTGAGTAGGCACACGTAGCACCTGTCTAAAAGCATTGTGCAACCTCTGTCATGGCTTCTATTTCTGGTTGTCCAAAATTTACACCAAGTTTTTCAGAAAAGATGTAAAGATGACATGGAGGGCATTTACACGTGACCACATCTGGACTGGTTGAACTCCTTTATACAGATTTTTTACACACAGAAAATACATGCTTAGCAGACACTGGTTACCAGCCAAAATGCAATACGCATAATATCACCTGCAACTGGTTCTCTATTCACTTTACCTTACCCAAAAAATGCCCCTAGCAATGTCCTCTGCTTTGAAGCCTCATGAAAAATTGGGACCCAGAGCGCAAAGTCGCGGGATTGCATAGAAGAAGTTGTGCGAGGAGATCCATGCAAAGCATAGTCTGTGTTTATGGAACAGTAAGAAGTGGTAGGTTGGCATATCTGCGTATGCTCTCCAACATCGCTGTCACAATATTTACATACAGAGCCTATCAAATACTTAAACAAGGAAAACACAAAGCATTGAAATTTTTATTACAGCATGTACATGTGCTTCTAAAGACTTGACTTCATTTATGTTAAATAAGGAGTTGTGTACTGGAAGGGTACTGTCCATTAACATTTTAAGTAACCATGTACATTTTAACCTACAGCATATAAATGAACATGCAAAGGAACAACCTATACATAGTATCAAGGTGAGGATACTGGAAATTATCTTCAAGCAAACTTGAATTGTAAATTCAAGCAGTGTGATATATACCCGTATTGCACGGTTCATATCGAACCCTGTGTAATGCGCTGTTCTAACTCAACGCATTGCACTATATTTAAGCAACATGTAAAAGCAAACGCACATCTCTGTGACTGTAAATTCAAAAAGGGCATGTTCAAGTTGCCTGTGCTGACCGCCACACGTGTTTAAATGCACATACAATTCTAACAATGATTTCCTTTCTAAGTGTAAGCCCTGTTGTTGTTGCTGAAATGAGTTAAACCACAAACAATTCCCATGCTCCCTCGATAAACTTACAGAATTCTGGTACACATGTACATGTACATCCGTGTTACTGTTTTTGCTGTGTGCCGTATGATATCTTTTTTTGATGTGAAGCGCGCAGAGGCCCCTTTACTTTCTTTACTGCGCGTCAAGTTTGTTAGAAGATATATTTGTTATCACACTCATGCTCCTGTGGTAACTAGTAGTATTTGCATGGCTCATATTAAACCTCTAATGCTCTATTCTAATTCAACACATACATGTACTGTACAAGTACATGTATTGCGCAATTTTTACAATGAAAGCAAAATGCACAGCTGCAAACATTACTGTAAATCCAGAGGTGGCAGGTTTGAGGGCACTGGCCCCTATAACATCTTTGCTACGCGTCAAGTTTGCTTGAAGATAAATCTGTGTCCAGTTTATACCACCAAGCCGAATCGGCCTGTGGCTTGTGGTATATGGGACACATACATGTACACACTACACCATGATCATTCTGTGTTCCACTCGCACTTGCGTGATAACGGTTAGAAGCTCACTTTTTCTTTATCTGTTATCATGATCACCCTCTGGTGGTGATCCTTGCCCAAACAATGTTAGGTGCGTAGCCTGAACTGATGAAAATATGGTCTGAAGTTATGTACATATGGTAGTTGTGCAAAAGCGGTGATCGTTTTGCTGGAAATTTTTACAAGGAAGTTTTTTCCCAACTGTGATGCACACTGAGAAATCTGAAAAGAAAAGTGATTTTTACAAGCCAATTTTTGGCAAAAGTTTATGGTGATGTACTGAAATCAGTGAAAATGGTCTCAGAAAAGTCAAAAGAAATTTCAGGCACACTATTCCTATTTTGAGTCACATGGCACTAGCATGCCAAACCTTTACATGCTACAGTACATTACATGTACCGGTCTATCACCCTTTTGTGACTATTTTGCATGGGTTTCCTCCAAAATATGACAGGTGTTTAATTAAAGGCTGGGAAAACTTGGTCCATGAAACACAGTAGGATTCAAACTCGGGCCAGTCACTCGGTTTTTCCTGAGATGGCTGATACATGTACATTAACCTCCATGTCATTTCCATTAGGCACTTCCACAAATTACCATCAAAGGCATCGCCGCTTTGCTGCAAAATGAGTTGACAGATGTCACAGCCAGTGTTGGTTTGAGTTCAATTTTCTGTCCCACACTGGCGCCTGGGATGATTCATTAGAGTTTTGATCAGGGATTCAGAATGAAGTAACCAGACAGTACGGTGAAATTTAAGTTTCATATCTGTGATGCAGTAAGCATATGCTGGAATTGAGCACATGAGGGAAACCAGCCAAGTTTCACATGTAACAATATACATGTGCATGTACATGTGCATGTACTTGTCCTCATCTTTCTAGATCCTTGAAATCTACCAGATTTGGGAGGATTTTATAGGATTGGGAAGAGCCCAGCCACTAGTATATGTAAAAATGTACTTAAGGTGGGTTTTTGTGCCCCTTGAGAGTTCAAGTACTGTACTGGTACAGTGTGTGTACATGTACATGCCCCTCTGGCCAGTGGAAGATTTCATTGGATTCAGGAAAGCTCCTAGCAAACTTGCCCAGGGTGTGAGAGCTCAGGAAATGTGTTTTTGTTTTGTTTCCCTTACTTCAGTCAGAATTTTGCAAGAAGCCTACCTGCAAATTTGCAAGTAAATTTCAAGAAAACTTACAATATACATGTAAAATGTTCATGAGATTTGGGTTAGTAATGTCCATGAACATGGGTTGTTCATAATTTTAACCAGACATTAAAAAAAAAACGCTCCACTTCTTGACTGTTCTCAGATTAAGTGCTCAGCGGTGTTCTGCCTTGTTTTGTCTACCTCATCAATCCTGACTGTACAATGTACATGTATGCATTTCCTTAATTGAAGCCTTCATGACACGTCTGCTTATATTAGGGTCCGAGGGGCATGCTGTGATTTTCTAAAGACAGTTATAATTTGATTATGGAAATCCATGTACACAGCTTCATTCATTAAATATCGCAAGACAAGTTTTAACGAGTCTGGTTATTTAAGCAGGCATATTCAGAAAGCCCTGATAAGAATTCCTTGTTACTCCTAAACCAGAAAACATCCGGTTGTCAGGGTGTCTAACAAGCACAAAGGATCTACAAAACAGTATTGCCAAAGCTTTCTCTTTTAAAGTAGAACAAGATTTTCTGTTAATTACACGCTGATTGACATCACCCAGCCTCTGATGAATATATTCTAAAGATGTCAGCAGACTAGATTGAAGAAAAAGTTTGTGGCAACAACTTTGGAATTTCTATTTGTTTCATGAATATAAAAAGATCTTCCTTTTGTGCCAAAACAAAATCCAGAGGTGGGTTTGGGGATGAGGACATATTGACAGAACATTCGGAATAGGGGTTGTTAAGATTGCAATAAAATACTGTAACATTTCTGCATTTGTAGAACCGTAGCTAACAAGACATACATTTTCTCCCAAAGGTTATGATAATATTTATCTTGCACTTGCTTTCTGTAAAAAAAATTGCAAATAAGTTGAAATTCTCAGTGATTATATTATAGCCATTGAAAGCCAAAACGTCAGGATCAAACTCCTAAAATTTTGGGAAATCATAATCTGCTCCCCTAAAAATGTTCTTGCATCTGGCCAAACATATCAAACACAATTTTTCTTCCCTATGGCCTGCACCAGGCTGACAAGTTTAAAACAGATTCTCCAGCTAAATGATGCCCCAGGGAACAAGCTTCATCCTTCCTGACATTTTCCCGCCAGGCTGTCCATGAAGAGTTGTGATGTCTTCATTTCTCTTTGACCTCTCCACGTTATTGTCCTATCGTCCCTCCGTCGTCGAGCAATAGGTCAGGAGAGGTTCTGACATCCCTTCCCACCATTTGTCAATGGAATTGTGCTTTAACTCGCTGAAGGACGGTAATGAGCACACTTTTATTCAATGATGGAAGAAGCCAAACATTAGGGAAAAAATTACAACTGGAAACTTTTCCTATGATTGTCAAATTTGTCTCCACATACAGGTACATGTATTCACGTTTCTGAATGCTTAAATTTATTGTCAGCTTATTTCAAGTACATGCACATGGCAGCAGTGACACTGTAATTTTCAATGGAGGGCTTTCATATAGCAGCCATCTTTAAGAGCAGTGTATTTCTTAAGATTAATTGACAAATTCCTGAATTTGGAAGAGAGCAAAAAATTGATCAACACATTTTCTTATGCATCCTATACAGCCACTCATTCCGAATGCAGCCCATATCATGCAGGGTGGCCAAGAAGAAATGCTTAGCAGGTCATTTTGCGCTTAGTAGGAGAACAGGCAGAATAGCAGACAAGACATGTGGGCAGGTGATGTGTTTCTGCTGGGCAAAACTCTGCAACTGGCTACACACCAAGGCCCTTAGCAGCCTAGAGAAGATGGACCTCAGACCCGGCCAACATTCCACTCCAGCTATGACACAACTTTTCATTACAAAACAAATCAATTTCCAATTTTCTTCAGTGGAGCCATGCAGCTGTAAAAACTACCACTTCAAAGCAAAACAAGATTTGTTAGTAACAGAACGAAGACAGTGGCACATGCAGATTGCTAACTAGTGGCGGTCTGACCAATAGAGGGACTTTTCATTATGCTAAAATACATAAAAGATGGGAATAGAACACTGAAATAATTGGAGAGGGGTCGGCTAAAACTCTTAACAATGCCAAGATATTGCCTAAGAGCGCCCTCCATTGGTCACAACCTTCCACAGCATTTCACATCTCTTGTTTGTTTACGTCTATTGGCTACCTGGTCCCGCCTTTGCGGGCGGTGTGGTTCCCCTCCCCCTCGCTCTGAGTCCGAGGGCGTATCACTGACGACGTCAACGCTGAACCCGACGGTGCACTGTGAAGTGATGAAAGGGGGGGAGGGGGGAAAGACACAGAAAAAACACAAAATTCACAACACACTGAGGTTATACATCTGGTTGCATGCGAGTCTGACACTCCGTGGCAACGTAAGTTGATTACAGACGCAATACAAACAGGGCGGTCAGGTTTAAAATCTAATTTGACTTTTCAACAGTTCAAAGTACCGGTAAATGAGGTAGAGTCTACAATGTACGTCGTTACCATCAAGGCAACTCCGTGTTTACATAGGCTGTATACATGTACAATGTACACCTAGAGTAATATTTCTGTTTCAACAAACAGTGCACTCAAATCTGTAAAGAGAGATCTCATTTGAATGCTATACATAATGAATATACAGAGTGCCTCTACATCAAGCCTGAATATGACACTGTACATGAACATGTATACATGTACAGTGTACCGTAAAAAGCCACTTCAAAAATGTATTTTAAAGTACTCAGAGAAAACGAACTACATGCACCACGCGACATGTTTAAATCTAATACAAGATTGTAAAATATTGAAAGGATTCAAAGCATCTGAAGCAAAAAACCCCTAAAATAATCATGCCAATTATTAACAAACAGACAGAAAGCCAGCAAGCCATGCAACCGTAAGAAATGTGGCTAGTTCTACAGTGCATGCAGACACCATGAGCTTTGCAATCATTCTCAACTTTGCAAGGTCCAGCCCCTTTCTTGGCACTTTTGCAAGGCAACTGGTATGTACATGTATTGCTATAAATGCCAAAGGCTAACAAAAAAAAAACAAACAAACAAACAACTCAGAAGCACTGCCTGTGTGACTGGTTCCCGCTATGTACATCATCTACTTTCTTGACACCTGCTAAGCAGGACCCAATGTCACACAGCTCTTAAGCACAGAAATCTGCAGAGCAAAAATACCGTACCCCCTGCAAAATATTAAGTCCATATGTTAATTGCTATGTGTGCTGGTGTGAGGAAGAGGGAAAAGGTGGGAGTATCAAGAACAAGGAATACCAACGATTCATTGCATATTCAACACTTTGACCCGACACTGTAAC